ATCTTAACTGTTAGAGCAGTACAACAATAGAACCCATGACCTCAAGAGGTGTTGAGTGCTCCAACACTGGAGGCATTCAAGAAAAGCTTAGATCATCACCTTGCAGATATGCTTTGATTGTATTCCTGACATGAGCAGGGGGTTGGACTTGATGGCCTTGTAGGCCCCCTTCCAACTTCACTTTTCATTGATTCTATGGTCATCTTAGAACTGCAGGGCTGGAAGGACCCCTAGGGGTCATCAAGTCCATCCCCTGTCCAGGAAGCACCTTGGGGGAACCAAACTCCCAACCTCTGGCTCCACAGCCTGATGCCCCAACCCCCTGAGCTATCCGGCATATCCTCATGTATGTGAAAAACTACCTTACCTTCGCTTCAAGGGTATTCAGCCGCTCAGTCATGTCTGTGAGCTTAGTGCAATTCATGCATTCTAAAAGAAGAGGAGGGGGGGAGGAAATCCATTAGCTTTGTTATAACACGTGGTTGAAGAAAACACATTACATTCTTAAGTATTTCCCCAGCCACTTTTTTTCTGTTTCTTGCTGTGCTTTGTTTCTACTCTGCTCTTCCTCTTTTCCAGAATAGCAGGCTGTACCAATTCATGACTCTTGACACAAAGGCATAAACAAAAACAACCCCTTCCAATCCTGAGCAACCTCAGCTTTTCCTGCATCCCCCATCAAGCAAAGTGTGCTTGTTATATAACACCCCACAGAGCTTAAAGCTCTCTCTGGACAGTCTATAATTGAATTCGGCAAGCTACACAACCCATCGAGTTGGGTACTCATTTTACCAACCTTAGAAGGAGGGAAGGCTGAGTGAACCTTAAGCCTGAGATTGAACCTGGGTCGTGAGCAGAGTTTTTGTTGCAGTAACTGCAGTTTAACCCCTGTGTCATGAGGCCACAATGTGCCCATGCTAGCAATGGGACCACAAGGAGGGCGTCTTCGGAGAATCTTAAGTGCTGAGAAGGCTCCTATGGGGAGATATGGCCCTTCAGATAGCCTGAACCCGTCATATATTGATTGATTGAAAAAGCTGCAACACCATACAGGAAATACATTAAATGTATCATCATCATCATCATCATCATCATCATCATTGTTGTTACAGTGGTGGTTGTTTATTTGATTTGTCTACTGCTCATCGAGCCAAAGCTACTCTGGCCAGTTCACAACAAAAGAGCAAGCTACAAGTAAAAACAAAGTTAACATATAAACATGGCACAATAAAGCAGAACTAAATTAGACTCTTACCTAACCAGCAATTAAATATCATAAAGTCGCAAGCGGGGAGGACGTCTTGAAAAGCTTCTCAGAAAAGCTGTGTCTCGACAGATGATCTAAATGCGAGGAGGGAGGGGCCCCAACACATCACAGGGGATCCTGTCACATCACAGCCACCACCGAGAAGACCCTGCTCCTAGTGGTTGGTTTTTGGGGCACCTTCAGAATGGTGGGCCTGCAGCATCATAGCCTGGATGGAGCGGGTTGCAAGGGCAGATGATCTTGGAGATAAGACAGCTTTATAGGTGATCGCCAGCACTTTGATTAGGGCCTGGAAATGGACCGGTAGCCACTGCCTGTCCCCTTTGCACTGTTTCTTAGAAAAGGGACACACACGCCCCCAAACATCTACTTATACTACAAATGCCAGACAGCTATCCTAATTCGTCAGCCAAGTCATCAGATGGCAATCAAACAGGCCATAGGTGCATTCACTTCCAAGGCACCAAAATCCACTTATAAACGTAGCCACTAGATTCCCGAGGGATCACTGGGTCAGTTCCCCTCTCTCAGCTAGATCCATGGCAGAACAGTGTTTGTGAGGATACAATGGGAAGAATCATGCATTCCGTGACAAATGGTTACAATACATACATCGTACATAAATGGACATCAGTATAGACGGCAGCACCGGGGGGGGGACAGCTCACAGGTGATGTGGAACGGAACCGAGGGTCAGGTCCAAAGGCACACAAACACACAGGCCTGCTGACAGAAGCAATCAGTGCTGTGTGGACAAGGGTCTTCTTGCCCGAAGCGTCCAAAGAGCTTCCCTGTATCAAAAGCACCACTAGAGGGCAGCATTGACAAAGTCATGCTCCAGAGTAGATAGACTTCAGAAAAGGACAAGGGTCCCTGTCCCATAAATAGACTTTTGGAATGACGGAGCAACCAGTCCCGAAGTCCTCGGCAGAGAAGGGATCAACACGAGGACCTGACAGTGCTGGAAGCAGAGAGGGAAGCAAGCTGTGACTGTCCTTAAAATGGTGCTTCACTGGTAGCTGTGGCGGCTGTGACTGTCAATAGCATCAGTAGCTGGGTAAGAACATCCAAGAGTGATGGGTAGATCAAACCCAAGGATCATCTAGTCCAATGCTCTGTTTACACTGTAGCCAACCAGAATGCCGAAGAGAAGCCCATGTGACGGACGTGAAGAGGACAGTACCTGTCGCCTACGATCAGGAACACTGAAGTCAGAGAGCCGGGAAGCTTTGGCCCATGGTGTTTTGGGCTACAGCTCCTCCTTTTTTTTGGGAACGAAGGATGGAGTCGCTGGGTTATTTGGCAATTCTAGGAGATGAGCTGTCGTTCGTATTATGTTATGTGCTGTCAAGTTGGAAGCAACTTATAGTGACCCTTATAGTGCTTTCAAGGGACGTGGTGGCGCTGCGG